CCTTTTTACGAAAATTTATTAATAACTGATGATTAATTTTTTGTAGTTTTAAAAAACTAAGTAAAAATGGGATCAATTTTCTTGAATACTTCTATTCTTAACAGATTTTGATCTAACTGTTCAAACGTTATTACATAAAATATTTACATGAAATTTTAAAACAGATCGAGTAAAAAAGGAATTACAGGTAACAGTTTACGTCCTGGACGACCATTAAAGCGTAGTAACTACGCAGATTTCACAGATTTTCACCCAATGGATCTTAGTATGATTGGAGGTAATATTATTTCTAGCGTTTTTTTCCTAACAAATGATAACGTGTGTTAAAAAATTTTTTTTAATTCATTTACTCTCCTTTTTAATCGGAAAAAGACTAAATAAGCTTATCGAAACAGATGATTAAAAGATGATTACCTTTATTTATTATCAAATGATATGTTAGAATAAATACGACAAATGGGCTGCCAATTATTCAGCTTAGGAAAATTAATAAAAGTAACATTTACTATGTTCCACAACAGATAAACCTTAAGTGAAAATTTTAGGATTTACTTGTTAGATTTCGATAGCATTTATAGTCCCTTATCGATTCTTTTTTTTTTTGAATTGACTTTCATTAGAATTTAAACGGTAAAATTTCAACATCCGATATGGTCAGTCGATTTTGTTCACAGCTTCTTTTGGTGTATTGGCCGTAAATTGTCTGATTGACTTCCGTACACTCGAAATCTTTGTTTTTGTAGAATTTTTTTCCCCTTTAATTTTTCAGGGTAACATCTCAGGTAAACGTAAGTTTATTTGTTGCATCAAATTTAAACTTCACTTTGTTTCATCTGTTGCAAACATTTTGACATTGTCATATTTAATATCGTTATTAGAGAATAACATGTTCGATGTTTCATATTTAAATGCAGTCTAAAAAATTGGTTTAAAAAGTTGAATTCCCCGAATTGAGAAATATTTTTTCAAGGATACTCCAAAACGAATAAACTATTTTTAGGGAAACGAAAAATGCATCCTTCACAATCTTTGTTTTGAAGAATTCCTCGCAAAAATGTTTAGTTCTTTTCATTTGAGAGAAAGATAATCAGTAAGGGAATAATTTCAGATGAAATGGTCTTTGAATTTGTGCCGCGATATGCTATCTGGCAATTATACCATCCAAAACGAATACTCTTACGGAACATATACCGTTAACTTCAAATCAGATCAGACGAATACGCCTTCAGACCAACATTATTTACTTTTCCCTTTCCGTTTTACATTACATTCGTTCACTTAACTACGACTATTAGTGAACTACGAAATAATAAGAAATAAACTCTCAACTTTATCGCTCAAAAAATTGCACATGAGAAGTATTATTATGAGAGATACAAAGAAGCTTCTGGATCTTTTAAGGATAATTGTAAGGCATATGGAAATATACACACAAATGTTGGGTGAGAGATAAGTTTTGTTTTGAATTACTGGAAAATCGTCATAATTTATTGAGCAAGTATTTCACCACCCTGAAATATGCATAACTCACTCACTGCAAAATGGAAAGCAATGTATGAAATTAATAATTCATCTTCTAATTCAATAGATTAGCTATGACAACAATAAAAACATCTCATAATATTTGATTTTGCCCTTTTCGTGTACCATTGATTTAATCAGGCACAGGTCTTGCAGGTTTCAGAATTCTCCAAAAGTCTAGCGTCTCGAATCATATCATTCTTTATTAACTGTGTATTCTATACTACTCATGAATATACCGAAAAAATACGAAGAGCTGCGAATCATAATTCTTATTAGATTTGAAAAATTAATATTTTAAACACTTGAGAACAATTACATTCATTTATATTTCCTTTTCCATTTCTATTTTTTCTTTTTCTTTTCGCCTTCTTTTTCACCCGCCTCTCGCGCTTCTTTCCACTCCCTCATAACTTCCTGCTGGATATTCGGAGCCAACGGTGCATATCTAAATAGTCAAAATTAGCCTTCTATAATTTGCTCAACTGGCAGCTGGATTGAATAGAATGACATAACACTTTTACTCACAGTAAGGAAATTGATATAAATATTTGAAAGTAATTTGCATCTGTATCCTTATAGGACTGATTCATTCAATATGTTTTTTTCTTTTTTTTTAATCGAACAGCACAACATAAGGACAAAAAAATAAAGAGCCAGTATAAGTTACGGGATCAAAGAAAAATAAGAACATAACATACTACTCGTGAGAGATTTGCAATTTCTGCTATAATATTTACTAGTAAAATATACTACTTTTTTATTTTTATTCAGGATCTAAAAAACTTTAAATCATTACTCTCTTTTTAGCCAATGTAGCATTTAATATTTGCAATAACATATATCCCAAAAGTAACACTACAAATTGTAATGTTAAGGAGAATGTTTTACCTGGCAAATTCCATTACATATTCTCCTTTTCCTTTTGTCATTGTCCGCAACTTTGTCGAATAACCGAACATTGCTCTTAGGGGAGCCAGAAAATATTAAAAATAACAAAAGGCAAAATATCGAAAAAAACGTTTGAGCAAAAATTTTAAATTATCAATTTCAGATCTAAACAATTTGTCTGGTGCTCTATCTATGCTACATTGTTTTCATCAATATATAAGAAATGCTTTTCACTATGTACAACAAAAAGTCTTACTTCACATGTAAGCGTTAAATAACCACCAGAAACCGATGAATTCAACAGGATAGAACCCAATGTCAGCGTACTCGATACTGAATTCTAAATATATCCATTTTACTGCAGTAGTGAATTTAAAAACTAGGCGGAAAATTAAATCGGAAAAGTAAGCTACCTGAAACTCCTCTGGAATAGTTATATCCACTTTCATTATAGGCTCCAACAATTTCCACTCAGCTTTCAAAAATACTGAAAATTTTTTGCTTATAATGTAAGGACGAAAAGAGATACCGAATATCACTTTTTTTTAAGTTGCATGGAAAGCAGCTAATATTCATGATAGGAACTAATATCCACAATAATGAAGAGGGGCATCAGAAAAGTTGTAAGAAAATCTGAAGTTCAAAAAGAAACACAAATAACTCCTTAAATAATATATCTATGAATTATGTTAATGAAAAAAAAAAAATTTTAGTGAAAAAACTCATTCCATTAACCTTCTCTCATCATATTCTGCATGGTGTTTATCATAGCAATATCAGTTGAATCAACTTCATGTGTTTTACCATCTTGAAGTCGCACTTTTATTCCAGTAATTTTGGTATGAATCAATGGACCTTCATCTAACATCATATTGAAACCCTGAAAATTTTCGCGAATATTTTCGGACTAATTTCACTTGTGACTTTTTTAACTGTTCACCTATTTAAATCACTTGTGAATCACTTTTAATTTAATCTCAGACCAATCACGAAGCTACTATTAAAATTTAGCAATTAGCAGGAATTACTTTCTTTAGCGGGACAATAAGATTTTTAGGTATGTTGTTTCCAACTGTTTCATCAACAAATTCAACTTCTGTGTTCCGATTCGGTGGCAGCGGTTCAATTACTCCTTCAATTTCTCCAAACTGTCCCTGACCTCCAGTTTGTTTTTTATGCCGATAATAAAATCTTAAAAGAGAGAACTAATGTTCGATTGAAACATAATATGATGACAACAAGATATAACGATAATAAAATATTCGAATACTTTATATTGACAGAAAAATTGAAAATTTTGGAAGTCCATTTTTCCATTTTAAGTTTCGAACAAATGATTCGACTTTGGTACTAATAATCGAATATAATATTATCTCGTACATGCATAATTTGGTGAATGATAAAAGAAATAATAAAATGAATGAAAGTTAAGAATAAAAATTAAATGTACTTACTTGTAGGGCTTCGCAAGGGTTTCACGATAAGCAACGGTTGGTGCGCTTAATACAACAGGACAATCAAACTCGTTTTTCATGCGTTGAGCATAGATTTCCTGAAATAACAAAAAAGAAAATCAATGTAAAGCAGTTTATATGAAATTATCGAAGTAAAAATATTTGAATATTCACCAAATGCAATTCGCCCATTCCAGAGACTACGGTTTCCCGAGCTTCTGTATTATATTCCTTACGGAATGTTGGATCTTCCTTAGTGAAACGATTTAAGGCTTTCATAAATTTTTCGCCATCTTTATTGTTTACACATCGAATAGACATCGAAATTACTGGTTCCGGAACGTGCATTGATTCCTGAAAAATGCAACTCTTAAGATTATCATTAGAATGTGGAGCAGTGTAATAATAATCTCCGTTCTACTGAATTCCTCAAATGAGATAACGTGCATTCAGGCAAGGGAAAAAAACTTACGCAGAAGACTTCATAATCATTCTCGCCGCAGAATGTTTCACCCGAAAAACATTCTAGCCCATACGTAGCACAGATATCACCAGCAAATGCTGTATCGATTTCCTGTGTGTAGAAATATGGTTTTTTAGAAAAAATATAATATTAACTATTTCAAAACCAGTTTCATCTTAAAAAAAGATTAAATCTTACCTGCAATGAATTAGCATGTATTCGTACTAATTTTTGTACGCGTACTTTTCTACCATCTTTTGAAGCGTAAATGGTATCGCCGCGATTCAACTGCCCTTGATATACACGGAAATAAGTTAGTTGACCGAATTTTCCAGCCTGTAAAATATATCAATCATGAATGCTAATATTTATTTTTCTAAAACATATTTGTAAAAGGAAAATATTTTTGTAGAAAAACCAGACAAAAATTTGTGATAAATTTAGAAGTATATTTGAAAAAACTAATCAAATATCAAAAAGCGTTAAGAATTCAACCTCTAGTTTAAATGCAAGACCAACAAAGGGATGACTATTATTGCGCTCTGGACTCAACACAATTTGTTCCTCTTTCCCGGTCCTGAAATATTAAAGATTTTTCGGTAAATGGCTTATGGAAACGAATTTAAAGAATGAGAAAATAAAAGTCAAACAAATTATGGCTTATGAAGGGTTAAGAAATATATAAATAGGAAGTTAAAGTAAAAATGAAGACTAAAAGCCCAATATAATAATTTTAAATTCAATTTCCTAAATCTCATAAAACTTCAACATTTGAGATTTCGTAAGTGCTTGCATTTTGTTTAAGATTGAAGCTCGATTCACCACTTCCGATGGATTGGGCAAATACTGAACAATAGCATCAATCATTGATTGAATGCCTTTATTCTTTAATGCAGTACCAACAAACATAGGTACAAACGTTCTCTTGATTGTAGCTCGACGAACAGCCTGATGAATCTGCGACGGAGTTGGTGAAACGTCATCAAGCCACTGTTCCGCAATAACGTCATCGCCATTAGCAAGATATTCTGTAATTTTATGGTGCAAAAAAAAAATCACTGACGATATCTTTTGATCAGGGTATCAAATCAGCAAGCAATGTTCCGTTCCTATTTGAAAGACAGCAAAATAAGAAGGGTGAGATGAAGATATAAAAGACAGACATAAAATACATCAATCGAGAACTTACAGAAAATTGCACATGCAAAGTCTTTGTGCATTAAATAAATTGTTAAATTTTTGTAATGAAAAATTGAGATATTCCTTTCCCAACTCGCCATTTTATAATGCAAAGACAAAATATTGAATTAAAAAGAAAATTAAAAGATGTAAAAATTAAAGTGAACCACTGTATGCTATTGAATCAAAAATTGCTCGTTTTACCTATTAATTCTTGACGCATATCTTTTGTTTGTGCCCGTAATTCAGCCGGTATTTCATCCTTTCTTAATATACTTCCATAAGAATCTTCATTATATACTGCTTGCTCTTCGATGAGATCTACGATACCCTAAACATATATAATAATAAATGTTTCCTAATTTGGATCTAATACATGGATGTCTTTTCGTCCTTAGAACAAAAAATATTTTACTGGGGACAGCTATCGTTACTAAAATCAAAAAAGGATGGTTAATCAAAATCATACCAGTTAAGCAACAATTCTTAGACAGAAAAATATCGAATATACTTGGATATTCTCCGCTAATATGTTGAATAATTCAGTTGATACAGACAAACCTTAAAATTATGTTCTTTTCCGATTGGGATTTGCAATAAGGCTGCATTATGCTTCAACTTTGTTCGCATATCGCTTAATGCTCTGTAACAAATCACGACATATTACAAGACAACACTCAAATATCGAACACAAAATTAAAATACAGTACTTGAATGGATTTGCACCGGTTCGATCCAATTTGTTCACAAATGTAATAAACGGCACATTGTAGCGTTCTAATTGTCGATTGACAGTGAATGTCTGACTCTGTACTCCTCCAACCCCACAAAGTACTAGGACAGCGCCATCCAGCACACGTAAAGCTCGTTCAACTTCCACCGTGAAATCAACATGTCCTAATGAAATAAGTACAACATAAAATTTTAATCCCAAAAAAATCAGGACTTAAAAAAACCTATTAAAAAAATTAAAAACCTGGAGTGTCAATAATATTAATATTTACACCATCCCAGTCAACATAAGTTGCAGCTGACTGAATGGTAATTCCTCGTTCCCTTTCCAAATCCATAAAATCCATTGTTGCTCCAATCTCATCTTTTCCTCTCACCTGAAATGTGTATTTTGCTTTTTCCTACCAATGGTTTTAATAAATTATTAATTGTAAAAATATATACTGTAAACTACCTAAACAGTTGTTCTGCATAACATTAAAAGAATAAATGGGAATTAATTATTGTAGCATTACCTCACAAATGAATGCAAAAATATCTTTTCCTTACATGTGCTTGATGTTAAGTACCAGTTTATATTTTACTAAATTATACTACACTTTCCTTAAAATTTTGATGTTATGACGACTGCAGAAAGAAATAATATTCGCATCAGCAAAATAGTAAAATGTCATATAGCAAATATCTATTGAAAGGAGGTTATGTTAGAAATAAATATCTAAAGGTACTGAATTTCACTAAGCTTCATTAATTTCAACAGATATTTCCACTTAATGCTATCTTAAGGTGAAAAATTGGTTTCTGTGAGGTGTAATGTGACAGTTCAAAAACTAATGAGTGTTTTCATTAAAATCACACTTCGTGGATCTCTTTAATCCGACCGGCATAATACAAAATTCTTTCTGTAACAGTAGTCTTCCCAGAGTCAATATGAGCAGATATACCTGAAAATTTTATAAAATTAAGGACTCAAAAATCCTTCAAAAAAGTAATATATCAGTATATATTATTATATACTTTCCTTTATTTGAAAAAAAAAGAAATTGTTATTATATACTTTCTTTTATTTTGAAAAAAAAAAGAAAAAAAAGAAAAAAACAAAAGCAAACCTATATTCCGGATTTTCTCCAATGGTTTTATTTGAAAAGAAGGAATAGGATCAGTTTGTGTAGTAGCAAAATTCTTCCAATTCACAACAAGCTGCAAATATACGTAGCAATAATAAACTCCCCCTTAAGGAATCGGTTTACCAGCTTGAGTAAATTTATTTGTTTCTTCTTATAATACACTTTATAAGAAAGAACAAAATTGACCTTCCATTTACAATTAATATCAAATTTTTATAGCCTTTAATGTGCATACCATATTACAATATGAACAAATTCGAGACTACTATATTATACTGCTTGATAAAATACCTCCGAATTTGACACACAAAATCTTAATAACATTTAATATGGCAAAACATTAATCGATCTTACTGATTTGATATTTAGCAAGATGCGCTTGTTTCGACCTAGCACCATTATCAATAATTGACTGCAATTCCTGGTACGATGTGTATTACCTGCATAATAGTCATGACCACATTCAATGAACTTAGAATAATGTAAAAAGACCAAAGATTCAGCTATTGTCAAATGCGTTAAACGATATCTACAAATTTAAAGTTTTCTTCAAGTTTAGAGTTATATAAAGTAGAATTCATCATCCCTCTCTTTTCCCAAATAACACATTAATGATTGTCTTTTACTGGATAAACGGAAAAAACATAGTTGAATACATTGTTGACAAGCGACGCTTTGCAAGCGTAAAACTGCTTAGTGGTCAACCATAGAAGTTAAACGTTTATTTTGAAATTATATGTACAGACATCAAAATGCCTATGTAATCACTTTTAGAACCGCCTCACAAATGGTAGAATTGCTTTTTTGACACCATCTAAAATCTTCATCAACGAAGTTAATTAATCTTCGATAACACTTGAGCCCTTTTTTCAGTATTCTGGAACAAAGCTTTCACCAAGTAACGCACTTCATCTGCGTGTAACCACTGTGCCAGAGGTCCTTTTCCATCACACCACCGATCATAAATACTCTAAATTAATGGATTATGTTAATGCATTAAGTGGAACATTCTTTAGATGGAACATACCGACTTTATAATTGTGTCAATCCAACTTTAAGTTATTTGTTCATATCGTCATATATCTCAATAAAAGCAAACGAAAAATGCAAACCTGTAAAGATGAATCCAGACAGAACAATAATTCCTTGATGCGGAAATAGGAAGCTTCAGCATATCTATGAATGGAAGAATGTTTTGACTGTTCAATCTAAAAAAGTATTCGTTTAACATCGTATGTTATTTTCCAGTGATGATGGCAACAGACTTAAAATAAAATTCTGAGACTGTTATTATCAGTACCGACATTAAAAACCAGTGTTAATATTAAACGAAACATTAAGGGCTTTGATGAAAACAACTGCTATTTCCGAAAACAAAAAAGGCATAATTATTTGATAATTATGCCTTTTATTTGATAATATTTGATAATTCAGTT